AGGTAAATCATGACCCAGATAACAGTGTCCTATGGAAATTGGAGCATATGTTGAGAGCCTTAGAAATGAGCTGCTAGTGTGGATATATTGAGGATCTGAGCCCTTTTTTAGATGAGGAATAAAGAAACTAATGATCTATACATTGAACATGGTACATTGTCTGGGAGAATGCAGGTGTTTTAAATGCTGTTGTAAAACTTGTGAAAAGTGTGAGGGAATCTCAGTAATACTGTATACTGCTGGCTTTTCAAGTAAAAGCAAATAAATATTAGCTTTCTCTGTCTGCTAGGATGCTACAAAAAGTATAGCAAAAGTTCCTAACTTTGAACCATTTGGATTGACATTGACTCTTAGATCTTGTACAGTGCTCCATTCTCATCCATGAGACTTTTTTATAGGTAAGATAGGAAGGTTTCAAGGACTGTAATAGGGAACAATGAGCTTTTTTTTCACTACATTTTTTATTAAAAGGGCAACCCCTCATATATCTTTAGATTTTATTTTATTTTTGATAGAGTCTCGCTATACAGTTTGGACTTGTAGTGATCCTCCTGTCTTAGCCTCCCCATTGCTGGGATTATAGGCATGTGCCACTACCATGCCCAGTTTTGGTGGCCAGCCCTGCATGTCTAGGGTTCTGGGGCCAGCATGGCATGCAGTGTTGAGAATTGAATCCAAGTACTTGTGCTTGCCAGGCAGGTGCTTAGACTGCTGCGCTATCTCCCCAACCCTATCTTTAGCTTTTAAAAGATACTAAGGAAATAAAAAGTAGTTTAGAAGATGAATGTGACTTTTTTTTTTTTTTTTTGGTGGTACTGGGGATCAAACCAAGGGCCTGGTGCATGCTAATCAAATGCTCCACTATTGAGTTACTCATACATCTCCAGCCTAATCAATATGAAGTTTAATAAACTTGCTACTTTTAATTTTTTTCTCCATCTGTAGAAGGCTCACAAAGTGTCAGGCAGGGACACTGGAGATCTATAATAACTATACTGTTATGGAACTTAATAATCTCACAAGATCATAAACTAAGAACTTCAATTGATGAATCTGGGACCTTTAAGGTAATTTCTCCTGAAGATGATTTTATTCAGCTTCCTATGGCAGGTCTCTACCTAGGAGATTTGTAGGGGCAGAGTCATGTGAGATAAATGAATGACTTCAGACAAGTGGCCCAGGATACTGGATTTTGATAAATCTTTGAACTTGATTGAAAACTCCTACTACTGAGATATTTGTTGTTATTCTGAGGAAGTTCTTGACTGTATTATATTGTGGTTTAAAGTAGAAAGAATTGCTCTGTACTTACAAGCAAAGTATGTTGATTTCAAGGAGGTATTAGGAGTAGCTCACCAGGTGGTAATGAGAATTACTAAAGAATTGGAAAGATGTTCCAGTTTTCTGTTATTGTTCAAGGGATAGTCTTTTTCCCAGTGTCCACTAGCTTACAATAATGTCAGGCACCTCTGTCACTAGGGACAAGATCAGGAATGGATTTTTTTTTGGTTTTGTTTTGAGACATGGCTCTCATTATGTAGTGCAGGCTGGCCTTGAATTTGCTTATGTAACTCAGGCTGGCCTCGAACTCACAGAGATTCTTTGGGATCACAGGTGTATGCCACCATCCTGGTACAATGGATTTCTTAAAATCAGGCCAAAGTCCTTGTAATGGCTATAGGTGTAGAACCGTTATTTTATTTGTCTGATAGTTCCTCTTTTGTTTTAATGTTCTTTCAAAATATTCCATCAGGTAATATAGTTCTTTTTTTTTCATAATTTTATTGAGAAACAAATAGCCATGAGGGAGTTTCAAATAATAAATATTCCTCTTTTTTTTGTTTTTGGCGGAACCAGGGATTGAACTCAGGCCCTTGCGCTTGCCAGGGAAGCACTTATTCTACTGAGCCATCTCCCCGGCCCAGGTAATATAGTTCTGTGAGGGGAGTTTCCTCCAATTCTAATTTGTATTTCTTTAGTAAGTCCCTTTATTTTGTGTATTGTGCATTAACAAAATGGGGTGATGATCCACTTCATCTTCCTAGCCCTTAAACTGAGACTATTGCTTGAAAATTTCTTCTAGGCAGATTCAGAAATCTTAGGTGGATTTATCCTCTTTCTGTTTACAATATTGGATAATGACTTGGTCTAGTCTTATGAGAAACACTCTGAGAATAACTTCTAATAACTCTTGTCTCATTTTTCTGGCTCTCTTTATTCCTTATTCAGAGGCATATGTGATAGGATCCTCAAAGTCTCTAGCTTGATCATTGCAATTACTGGCTTTAAGCATTCCCTGTGCCCACTATCGTAAGAACAAATTGATATAAATCAGAGAGCCCTAGGCCATAGGTTTCATGAAGAAACTTTAATATGAGGATGATAGAAAAAGAGATTTAGAATAGACATAACTCATCCTTGCTTTTAGATTCCTTATCATGTCCATATTGAGCCCAGTGACTCTGCCAGTGTTGAGAAACAGAGAATCACAGGTTTCTTCCCAGACTGTCAAAAAGGTAACTTACCAGGAAGCTTCAGCAAAACACAGGGATGCACAATAAATGTGGAGAGCTTAAAATGCAAAAGGAGTGGAACTTGGATGTAAGAGAGATTTACCCTAGAACTCTGGGGTCAATAAGAAATGGGTGAGTGCAGTGGGTGTGGTGGGGGGTGGCACCTGGGCACTCACTGCACTCTGGGCTCAGCTAGGCTACATTCATATCCCATTTGTGACACCAGAAACTGTCACAAAAGTGAAATCATATCAATCGAGGGAAATTTAAAAGGATTATTGCCCACTATCGTATGAACAAATTGATATAAATTTGGAAGAGTTCACAAACCAGGGGATTGCAAGCTAAAGGTGGCAGGAAACTTGCTCACAGAAGTTGTAGTTTAGTTCCTAAAGCATGAATGAAGAGGTGCCCTGTTTCCACTGTGAAGGGCAGCTAGAGGCTTCCACTCCTTCAAGGTGGGAGCACTATGTGAGCTACCAGTTTGTAGTTGATTGGTTAGGACTCTGTAAGGCCATATTGAAGTGAAAATAGTATAAATTTTATCTTTTACAGCTAGCATTTTGGGGAAATTGAGACTCTGTGTGTGTGTGTGTGTGTGTATGTGTGTGCACATGTGTGCATGTGTGTGTGTGTGCATGTGTGTGTGTGTGTAATACTGGGAATTGAGCCAATGGAGTACTGAGCTAGACCTCAGTCATTTTTATTTTTAAACATTTGAGACAGGACTTCACTAAGATGTCCAGGCTGGTTCAAATTTATGATCCTCCTGCTTCAGCCCCAAGAATAATTGTAATTACAAGAGGCCCCACAGAAGCAGTTTTGTTTTGATTTTGTGGTTGTGAGTGTTTGGTCTAGGAGTAAATATACACACATCATATGCATATACATATGTAATATATATAAACATACACTAAAATTTGCAATATATACATATACACATCTAATTTTAATTTTGAAAATTAAACTTAAGAATAATTTACAAATAGTAAAATTTGTAGGGATCCGTTGGTCTCAGTTGGATCAGTTCTACTTGGGAGACATGGCATCAGGGATGGGAAAGATAGACAAGAAGAGAAAAGCTGGGTTAGGTGGTCGCTGGTCTGCCTGATGGACAAGACTCACATGCTAGCACAATGAAATCTACATTTATTTATACTTTTGCAAAGTTAGTAACACGTGACACAAGGTTGCCTAGTGACTAGTAGCTGACATTAGCCAGTCAGGATGCTTATCTCAGGACTGAGGTAGCTTGTTTGCTTTAGGCACTGAGGCCTAGTCATTCATTCCTACACACCTTAGACTGATTTTCCAGCTTCTGTGGCTCTCAACAAAAATTGACCCTTTTAGTATATATTTCCATAAGTTTTGACAAATATGTAATTATGCAACCATACAATACAGAAATAGCTGTTTTCTGTCCAGCTGAACCCATAGCTGGAGTTGCCCCCAGAGGGATGTGGTAGGGTAGTTTCCACAAGGGACTTCTCCAAATTGTCCCCAAGTGGGACTGATTGGGATTCCAAACAGCAAAACACCTAATGATTCTAATTAGTGCAAGGTATTTATGAGGGCAATTTACAGAGGGCTGGAGTGTGCTTTTCCTAGACAGGAAGGCAGGAGACCCTTTTCCCGAGGATACCTGTTGTCTAGTTTATGTAAGGTTTAAGGCACAGGCATTTTGTAGGCATCTCTGGAGTAGTCCATAGTGACCAGATGTGTCCTTGCCTGTGTCCCCTTCCTTAGGAAGTAGACCATTACCATCCCCCAGCTGTCTGAAGATTGAGGCTGATGGCCATGTGTTTGCAACATCTGTAAGCTGGGTCCCTCTTAGACACCACTACTTGGCTACTGTCTCTCATTCCAAAAATATGGAGTCCTCTTTAGAGGCAATTTAGACAGAGTTGGAAGGTTTGGCTGTCATCTAACCCAGCTTCTTTAATTTGTAAATGATCAGAGCAAGGCCCCAGGAGCAGGGACTCGCAGAAGCTGTATCATGAAAGAATCAAGGCTAGCACCTGGGGTTGTAGATTTCTATGTTGCTGTCTCTCTTGATTAGCTGGTTCCTTTCTTACAATTTCAAAATGCTACCCTTGTCTTCTGGGGCTCATTACTGCTGGCCAGGGAGGTTGAGTGACTTTTTTTTTTAAAATTTTTTTTTTTTATAGGCATGAGCTAGAAGGGGAACCTGAGACTAGGCCTCTGCTGTCTTCTGCTTCCTCTTTGCTCCGCACCATTCTGTCTCAGCTGCTGACTTCTTCAGGGAAGGAGCTCATGAACTCATGTGGCTCTTTGGAAGTCACATCCTTCATGTTAGATATGTGGAAAGCAGAGCTGGGGACCCCAGACAACCTTTCTGAGGTCCTCTGGGCTTGGGTTACATTAGGCAGGATGGGTGGTTTCTGCTGTAGCTCATCCCTGTTGATGGTGCCAAGGGTTTCGAGGCTGTCTGGGTCAGGGCCAGCTCTGAATTCATTGTTCCCACAGGTGAATTGGCAGGAGCTGGTCTTTCCAGCATCATGTCTGCCCTGACTGAGAGAGCCATAGTGAAAAAGGAGCTGCTGTCCGAAGTGGCCGGGACAGATCACTACGAGGTCAATAACAAATATGATGACAGATACCTACCATTGCCTATCACCAAAGTCGTCAAACATGCCCTGGAGCTGGTGGGGAAGGAGATACCATATTCACTGACCAGCAAGAACTGCGAACACTTTGTGACTGAGCTGCGCTACGGAATTCCTCTCTGTGAACAGGTGTGTGCTCAGCCTTCCTAAGTAGCAGGTCATCTCCTTAGCTGTCAGAGCCTCAGCACCTGCTGTGATTGGATCAGAATGGTGATAGGGACACAGACAAGACAAAATAGCAGAGACAGAATCTCTGCCCTTGAAGATGTTTCATTTGAAGTGGGGATGAGAGTGCAGAGACACCCAGGCAAGATGCCAATGCAGATCAGAGCTGTTAGCAGGTTATGGCTAGAGAAGTGGGACCCGGATGTGCCAGTCACTCCTGTTGCTGAGCCCTGCCTGCTCCCTGGCCCCGAGGTGACTCTCCACAGCCCTAGAAGCAGGTTTTATTATCTCTGTGTTATAGATGGGGAACTGAGGCTCAGAGTTCCAGGGTCATCTGCCCCAACTCATTCAATCAGGTACTGAGCTTCTAGTTCAGTGATGGCAATCCTGTTAGAGACTGAGAGCCAAACTTCAATCCCAAACCTACTTATTTATTGCAAAATGCCAGCCTTGAAATTAAACCTGAAACTAGGGGCCAGGGATATAGCTCAGCGGCAGAAGTGCCTTACTGGCAAGTGCAATGTCCTGAGTTCCAGCCCCAATACAAAAAACAAAACAAAAACAAATAAAAAAAAAATTGAGGTTTTGGTTTAGAAAAAATATATCTGGGCTGGTGAGATGGCTCAGTGGTCTAAAGCACCTACTTAGAACAAGCTAAGCTTAGCAAAGCACAGGGACCACGGTTCAATCCCCCAGCACCACATGCCAGCCCGCCCCGCCCCCTGGTGGGGTGAGCTGCCCCCCCAC